TCTCTCTATGATACTCTTAAGCTCATCAAGAGGTATATTCATGGGACGTCTTGACAAGCCTAAGGCTCGAAGTCGTCTTTTCAGCGTTGATATACTTATCGTTATTCCGTGTAGTTTTAAAAATTCCAGGATTTCCAAGTTGCTGTATCCCTGTTTAAAATAGCTCGAGATCAATTCCAACTGGTCATCCTGTACAACACTATTCGCATTCATACACGGTGAGTAAACTTGTAGCGGCATTTTCTTACTTCTAGAACACTGTTAACTGCACGTCTAAAAGATTGCTGCCATGTTTACTTCGAAAACTCCCGCTTTTTTAGACTTAGAAGCCCGGATGTGACGGATGAAGTACCAAGGGCGGAGCTTTTGTTCCAAAAGATCAGAATTGTTCTGACCTTTTGAAACTGTTCGGAGAATCAGAAGGGAACTGTGAAAAGTCAGAAGGGAACTGTGAAAAATCAGAATGGAACTGTGAAAAATCAGAACTGCGAACTGTGAAAAATCAAAAGGGAACTGTGAAAAAATCAGAAGGGAACTGTGAAAAATCAGAAGGGAACTGTGAAAAATCAGAAAGGAACTGTGAGCCTTGTTGTATGAGAAAAAAAAGTCTCACAGAAATGAAGAATTTTACAATGAAATAAAAAAATTATTTGCAATCAACAGACCTATTTTCGATTATGGACACAACTAGCCGTTTTCCAATTTTGGGCCCTGGTAGCCAATTTTCGATTGTGGACACTAGTGGCCGATTTCCGATTTTGGATACCACTGGCCGATTTCCGATTTTGGACACCAGTGTCCAATTTTGGATTTAGGACACTAGTGGGCGTATAGATTTTGGACACAAGTGGCCTATTTCGGAGTTTGGACACTAGTGGCTGATTTCCAACTTTGGACACTAGCGACCGATTTCCGATTTATGACACTGGTGGCTATATGGAATTTTGGATGCTAGTGGCCAATTTGGGATTTTTGCCACTAGTGGCCGATTTGGAATTTTGGCCTCTAGTGGCCGTTCCGGGTTTTTGGCCACTAGTGAACGATTTGGGCTTTTGGTCACTAGTACCTGTTTTCGGATTTTGGCTAATGGTGGCCGATTTGGGTTTTTGGCCACCTACTAGTAGCCGTTTTGGGATTTTAGCCGCTAATGGCCGATTTGGGATTTTGGCCACTAATCGCCGTTTTGGGATTTTGGCTACTAATGCATGATTTGGTATTTTGGCTACTAGTGGCCGATTTTGAGATTTTGGGCACTCGTGGCCGATAGAGGAACAGTGAGGTTCCTGAACTAGCCTCTTGGTTTATCATAACTATTACTATSCGTTACTAATATTATGTCGCAGAGAAATCAACTGAATGCTACATTCTAATCAGGCAGCACAGGGCGAAAACCGTAACCTGTGAGCCATGGAGTAAAAAAATAAATGTACATTAACTAATCCTAAAAAGCTTTTCCGTTGTGTCTACGGTCCTCCTTCTAACAGGAATTCAAACTGCCACCTTGAAAGTCCGGGCAATATTCAGCGTGCCCGAGAGCACTGCCCTCTGCATCTTTCGCAGTACGTCTGTGCTTCTGCCTCCCACCAGCTCGCGCATCATGACATCCAGCTCCCGTGACCACCCCCCGAGGGCATCCATAATGATGTTATATTGCTTCACCTCGTAGCCTGGGAACTGCTGCCTTAGTTCCCAGCGAAGGGGTCCGTACTTCAGTGTCTTCTCTTCATCCTTTCTTGTCCGATTGTTAAC